AACACATTAGAGTAGCTTTTTCAACAAAATTATCACCTATTCCATAAGACCGTAATAAGACTAATGTAGATTAGGAAGATAAAAATATTTATTTAAGGGCTTTGTAAGGGAAAAACTAACTTTCTTTAAATTTTACCTTATTTTTCTTTCAAATGTTATTTTCTAAGCACAACAGAACTTAAATAGTCTGAGCTAACAAAAAACTTACATTTAACTTTAAGCAAACTGGAAAACTTGTAAATAAATAAAATAGTTTTTGAAATATAGTTTTTATAAACTTTTATAATAGCTTGAATCCGTTTCCAATAATAAGTATTCTTAAACTGAGATCCTATTTATAAATACCTACGCGAGAGAAAGGTGCACCATCCAGTGGTTGCTAAGTTTTGTAACAAAGTTATCCGTTGCACAACTGTTTGTCTTAATATTAACTTTCGAACGGCTCAATACCGTCAGTATAATATGAACTGATTTTGTTTTATTGTATTGTTAGGAGAAACAGTGAGACACGTGACTGCTATATGTAGATCGTTAAATTCATTGTTTGAAACTATACCGCAATGTTATCCTATATCAAAAACTGCAACAATCGTACATATGAAATAACATTAATATTATGCACCATTATCGTCATCATCATGCATCATCATTCAGCAGGAACAAGACATGCACATGGAGGGTTTAGCCTACATTCCCTACGCCTGGTCAGGTGGGTTCGAAAGACCTGATGTTCGCATTTCTCCCTTAATCGCCACTTACGACATCTTCGGTAAAGGTAAGAGAGTAAAGTACACATATTGTTAGGGCCACCGCAATTTTTTTTTCCTTATCATAGTACATGGTAGCAATAGCAATCCCGTTTATAATTATTCTTTTCCATGATTCTACCAGGTAGTTTATCAACTAATTCGAGTTTCTACTGTCCAATTCTCAGTTAACTAGCTGATTACTTGTTCCTACAAATTCCTAAGCGACCTTTACGTAAGATGCAGGCTCCAAGCCGTAAGTTAGCCTGTTGTACAGCGGACCGCAGGTATTTTTCCACGACACCGGGATAAAGGGGCACTTAACCGGCTCGCAGAGTCAGGGCCGGACTTGGGAACCGGTTTTAAAATTGTTTTTACACCGCCTGCCTGGCCTGACTCAGGATGCTGAGTTAGATTTATGACTGGACACCCAGTGTGGAATTATATTACAAGGATGATTCAAGTTAGTTTGAAGGTAATTTAAACATTAAAATTTGGTATATTGAGACGATTGAAGTATCTATAGGCATATTAAGTCTGACACAAAATTTACGAATCACGACTACGAATAAACAGTAATGCGTAAATCAAAAGTAATTAATATAAATAAAAACGGTAATCTGTATGCAATTATTCAATTAATTGAAAAGGTAAAAACGATTAACATTAATTGACTAAAATTATGTAGGTACATTACACGTCCTAATAACAAAAGTGTTACTTAACATATCTTATTTTTTCTGTTTTCTTTTGTCGGTTGCATCTTAGCCTCAATTTGATTCGATCAAAGTCGCAATTAAGGTAGTTATCGCGTCATATTCGGACTAAGATAAAATCTAACCAAATTATTAGGCAAAAGCAAATTATACGCCAAGAACATACTACCTACTTGCATAACATCTTCGTCACCTTTTTTTTAGAGTTTAAGGCCAATATTTTGAAACGAACCTCAAATATTTGTTCCAACTCTATGATTAGTCTAGGTATTGAATTTGAAACTAATCGAATCGAATTTGGAGTGGTTTTCTAATACAAAACTTAAATGCTCAGTCATGTGCACTTTAGTAATAATAATGGAGTTACGAGGATCTCAAAATTGATCAACTATTTTTACTTTGGCTAACCCAATCTATACTTTTCTAAGATCAAAGTTAACACTTCAGTCAGTCGATTAAAGTCATTATCAATTTGAGCTTAGAACATTGATTACAGAAGGTAATAACTTCACCCTTCCAATTATTTTGATCAAACTGGGAACAAATACCTACATTTACACTTAGCATGCCTTTCTGAGAATCCAACCAAATACTTCCGAATAAAAATACTTTCTTGAAAGTCTTCTAAAGCTCCGGTCATATCGATATCAACTTTATCGACATGTAACCTGATACTTTTGCCCCGCCCTTCATACGCCCCTGGCCCTTCGCTCCGCATTTTCCTGTTCAAGTCAATTTTAGCGATTCGTTTGTACCCAATGAAGGTATCTTGTATCAAAAGCGAAACTTATCCTTATAACAATAAATCTGGTTGTTAAAACTTCTTGTACTTTAAGCTGTTGAGAGTGGATCATAGTTTCTCTCGCTCCGTTATTCAAACCCAAGTACTTTTAGAATGATTGCGAAATTTCATTACTTAAGTTTATTAAACGAGTGATTCAACTGGCAGCATTTCATCTCCTTAAATAGACATAGTAGTTCTCACTTTTACTATAAGGTCTTTGTCTTGATTAAACACCATAAAGACTTATTATATCGGACATAAAACACACATAAAAAATCACACTTCCTAAAATTTAATGCAGGCATTATTATCTGAAGTAAGTAGTCGTTATTGTTTGGTAAATAACAAATGAGCATCGACTGAAACAAATGAATACCGTCGAAAACAATATAAATGAAGGCCTTTTCCATTCCCCGTGCTTGCTTGTCAACAAACGAACCTTTCCTCGTGACGTTTCCCTCTGGCTTTTGTCTTTGTGAGGACTAAATAAAGAAGGATTCTATTGGCATTCTTTTGTAGAGCAGGACATTATTTTCTAGTAAATAGTGCTGTTATATTACAAGAATTTTTAGTAAAAAATATGTCTAACTGTGAACCCACAGATCACAGAAACTAAAGGGAGATGTGACAAGGGGGCGGGGCCGGTGTCGCAGCAATATGCCCAAAAACAGAACACATTGCTCGTGAAAGCAATGATGACAGCAGCGACGTCATAATGTAAACAGTTTACATTGCTTGCGTAGTACTAAAGATTATTCGAACATTGAGTACCTACTGATACCGCAGTAAATAATGAGGACCTATTTTGATTTCTTTGTGTGTGAATTTCTAATGCGACACTGAGTTTCGAACTCAGCGCATTAGTTGACATCTCTCTTGATATCTCTATGTATGTGTGAAACTAATTAATCAGTTATTTAATAAACTCTTATTTTAAGAAGCATAGGTAAATTGACTCGAAAAATATGTATAGTAAGGCTATAAGCAACATGAGTTTATGAAGATTGTATGCACTTTATCATCAAGATAATGTCAAACTGTGAACCATAAATATTAATCGATTGATAGTTATGTCATGAAGAATAAAAAATACACTCTTAAGATGCAAAAACATAGTATAGGATTTAAACAACATAAGATTAATAAGACTACCTTCATTAATCAAGCTGTAGTTTTTTCCCAAGTACAACCTAGGCACTTTACGAAACCCTCAGATCCGTACCGGTTCCTAATCAAATTTGCCCAAGCCGCTACCGGCTGGGTGCAACATTAACCCAATAATTACGTAAAATTATCTGTAAAATTAACAGTGAAAGGAATCTAGCGCCACTCTGCCGCTTAAAGCTCACTCAGGGTTGCCAGTTTTAACTAATGTGTAAAAATTATTCTTTAATTTTCATGTAGGTTGGGTATATAGGTAGGATAGATCGTTTCATCCACGAATACGCGCCCCACCATTTTTTGGTCATTACATGCACACTATAATAATGACGCTTGGATTGCTTGGATCAAACTGCCCGCACCCCACGCTTCCCTCGACCAAAAAGTGGTGGGGCGCGTCTTCGTGGATGAAACGATCTATACCATTTCAAAGAGACGCCGAAATACGAGTATCTTACTTATACGAAAAGAAGTTTTTGTTTTTTGTAAGAACCCTGATAGTTACTAAGATCTCCAAATATTTGTTTGGGTTGTTGACGCTATGAAACAATTTTATAGAAATGTCCAAATTATCCTTCACAGAAACGCTGATGTATCTTACTTCTACGAAAAGAAAACCAAATTTCTAATTTATTAAAGTACCCAGTTATAAGTAACTATTCTAAGGAATATCTTCAACTATTTTACAATTTTCAAAACCGAAAAGATTTTTCTTGTCATTTGCTTTTCACTATTCAATGAAGTCCCAAATTCTTTAGAAGCCAGTCTGAGCCACCCTTAGATAGTCTTTATGATTGTACGCCTACTTCAATACTCTCACAAAAACGTTTAATTTTATGTAAGTATAGTCTTGAGAACTTCAAACTACACCTCATTTGCTAAATGACGCACTGTTTTTATAAAAAAAAACATACGAGTGTGATAATATTTGCTTCAAATGATTGCCACAAAAAATGTGAGACCTTTTTTAATTTACTGGTAAAACAAGATAAGTACCTCCAGATAACTTAAGTCATGATGGAGTTGACAGCCCTAAGCTTATTATACAATGACTCTACGAAATAATTCTACATTCCTCCACTATTGCCGGGGGATTTATTAAAAACCATTACCATTACACTTTAACACTCCGAGTAAACAAAAATAACAACTTCCACAGCTCTGCGTTATTACGACATAGTGTTTACTTGAGTTAAGTGTTCGTTTTAATTGTTATTAGCACCACATCTTAATAAAGATCTCTTACAAGTCTTAAACCTTATAGCGGTTTAACAGTCCCTTTATCACACGCTATATCGTATTACTATAGTGTCTTATTTGTGGACTAAAGCCCGTATTCCAAAACAACACTAAAACTCAACTCAATATCATAACTGATCGGTTTGAAATCTAAACATTGAAATTCAACCAATCAGAAGCCTCAAAGATGAGATTGAGTCGAATATTGAGCGTCGTTCTGTAATACGGACCTAAGTGTTCTCGAAATACAGCGGATGCAATTCAAACTCGCACGGAGCAATGTTAATTTACTTTTAAAATAACTTAGACAATACCTCCATCACCTGCTTTGCTAATTAACGAAAGAAGACTTACCTGAGCAATAGCGACGTCCAGCGCCATCCTCTCGATGTCCACACTGTAGAAGTTCAACTGCGGCACATACCGCCTTCGAGGCCGTATGTCATCGTAGTACGCCACCACATCGTTGATGGACACCACCGGGCAGTCATCAGCGGTACTACACCCACTGCTCACACCATCCACGCCACTGTCCGAATCGACCTCCCCACCGAAACCCTCCTTAGAATCGCGGCGGTCCCCGTAACTCTGCTCCGAACCCTCCTGGTAGCCAGACTCGTTCATCTCATCCGGGGTGACGATCTCCGGGATCTTGGTAGTGTCGTATTCGTAGCCGACATCGTCGTCGACGGTCGCGTCGTTCTCGTACAGGTCGGCCATGTTTTTGGACGCGTTCACACTTGTTCGCAGTCGCAAAACACTACATGCTGTTCGATCTGGAATGTTTGCGCCCTGTGAACAAAAAGATATTGTTAGTTTTTATGAAAGGGACCTTATTTTTAGGAAAAAACAGGAAAAGTAGTAAACTTTACTTAAAGTTAAATATTCCAGTCGATAAGTAACTGTACTATTAACCAATAATTCTTATACCACTTCTCTAAAAGAACACTTCATTATTTCCATGTTTGAAACCCTATTAGTTTACAGAAAGAAACAGGTGGCCAATCTTATAAGAATTCCAATAGTTATTGCAAATATGAGTATGGAAAAATATGTCAAGTAAACGTGCGTATACTTCTCTTATGATAAACGTGATGGTTCACCAACAATATAACAAAAGCTTTTCATGATTTGAAAGGATAAAGAAAACGTGAAAAGTTTTTAAATGGGGGCGTAAACAAAAGAATGCCATTCATAAGCAAATTTATAAGGTATCTACTATTAAAAACAAAGAGTGAAAAGGTGAAGAATTATTCCGGTCCAAATCCGTTTTCTCGTAACAAAAAGGGAGGAGTTTAAAAGGTAAATTACGTAAAAACTAGATTTTTTATTTTCTAGATCAGTTCTCGGAGTCCTTGGCCCACTTGCTAACAGCCTGGCTTTTCATTTAAGACTGACTTAGTACTAGAGGCTCGAAGGCTATGATGAAAGTTGAGAAAACGGAGTAGGCATACCCAAATACATGAATCATGGTGTCTTTCGAGCGAAGATGCTGAGTTCGGTTCCCAGGAAATACACAAAATCTTGGTGTTTGGACTTAACACTGTAAATCAAACCTTTGAAATTATACTCGAACATACCAGTGGTCAAAGAATATACTTTTGATTGTGTAGGTATATATTGTTATACGATTTTCATGGAAATAATAATAAAACACTTTCAGAAATATTTTCAGCTTCCTGTAACTATTGACAGCTGAGAATTGAGATTGACCTGTCAATTTGTCACGTCAAACGTCAGCACGCTATTTGATCTGCTTTTCAAGAAGGTTATTATAAAATAAAATACTCTTGAAGATTATTTATCTATTTTTGTATAGCTGTAATAATAATTTATTGTCAAGTTATTGTCGTCAACTATTTACTTTAGGTACAGACTAAAAAGTAAACTTGCTGTAAACATATAAAAATAATAACTCAATGACAAAAGTTTCTAAGGCATAGACAAAAGTTCTTTCAGGGCCTTCATTACGCATGGAGCTTTGCGTAGAGTCGTGGTTAATATTGGTAAAATGTGTCTACTGGTTCGTTCGTTTCAGCCAAATGACGTCCACTGCTGGACAAAGGCCTCCCCCAAGGTTTTCCACAATGAACGGTCCTGCGCTGCCCGCATCCAGGCTCTTCCCGCGACCTTTACCAGATCGTCGGTCCACCTAGTAGGAGGCCTGCCCACGCTACGTCTTCCAGCCCGTGGTCGCCACTCGAGAACTTTCCTGCCCCAACGGCCATCGTCTCTACGAGCTATGTGCCCCGCCCACTGCCACTTGATTTTAGCAATTCTGCGAGCTATGTTGGTTACTTTGTTTCTCCTACGGATCTCCTCATTTCTGATTCGATCACGCAGGGAAACTCCGAGCATAGCCCGCTCCATCGCCCTTTGGGTGACCTTGAGCCTTCTTATGAGGCCCATAGTAAGCGACCACGTTTCGGATCCATATGTCAACACTGGCAACACTGTCTACTGGTATTAGTAGGTATTTAGATATTGTGCGCCACTTTACTAGATGGACTGTACTCTGACACCCGTATTAACAAACGATGCTTGCATAAGTGAAGCAGCAAATAGAACGCACAGCGTTGAAGCTCTGCGATTGGTTAGTGTGTGACCCGGTGCGTCCACGCGGACTGTGAGACCTCATAGTAATGTTTGTGTTTACGGGCGTGAGTTGTTTAACTTTATACATCTGAGAGAGTATAGCACATAAGTTTTCATTTTAAGCGACTATTTATCGAAATCAACAAGAACGAAGTCGCCGACGAAAGCTAGTGTAATATTAAAGTTAACGTATTTTTATCCTACTGTTTCTCTACCTCTTACTTCCTTCCTCTACAACTACATCCTATATCAACACAGTTGTGAGCAGTTTCCAACAAAATAACTCAACTATTTCTAAAGTTCTGTCGATACCGGAGGTCAGCCGTCGACACCACACAACTTCAGATATTTTTAAAGCTAGGGTTGTTCGGTATTGTTCTTGTTAGAACAACTGCGATAAAATAAATACCAGACTTTCATTGGTGATACGATCTATAGGAAATTATTGTATTTTGCGGTAGTTATTAGTGAAACTCGTAATTATCTCAAAATGTATTGATTCATTTATCAATTCTTTATGTTTATCTACTGCTCACACAGTAGTGGGTGTCACTTAGTAAGAATATCACCTAATAGTATCTATAAAACAAGGCATTGCTATCACTGGCATAAGGAAAATTGAGTCACTGTGTTAAATAAAAAAAGTAATTAGTAAATGTCTCAAATATCAAGTAGACAAGGCTACGCAGAAAGATTAGTATCGTAAAGCTTTTACAATAAGAATAAAAAATATTTTTTTATATTACTTACATAAGAAATCATCACTTTGTTTGTATCAACAAACCCAACTTAGAAAATGTAATGAGATTGCGGTCAAATGTTTCAAAAAAGGCACTGTTACATAAATATCGATGGCGATGTTGTGTAGACCTCCAGCAAGGGCGCTGCACTATCGCCGAAACGAAATCGAAGTTGACTCTCGCTCTCATTCGGCAGGTAACTACTGAGGCTCTTATCACTGAACCGATCCTTGGCCCGTTCCCTGTCCTCAAGTCCGACAAAAAATGTTTAATATCGCTAAGAAAAATAACTAGTAACTCAAAAAGATTACTGATGGAATACAAATTATTAAATCAAAACCAATTGTTATGTAACGATGGACATTATTAATGGTCCTTCTAGCTTTTAGCCAGTATTTCTAAAATACATTGCATTTTTTTAGATCATAAAACAGATACAAAACTACAACCCATTGCTATGGATGAATTTTAAAACGACAGACAGGTTACTGGCGACTCAATCTCAAGTCCCAATGTTATTTCAAGAGAACTCAAACCAAGTGAACGTTGTCCGCCGTATACATACGGGCCTATCTGACCTGAGAACCCGGACGACTGGTTTCCAATCTCGAACCAAATATTTGAGGATGATATAACGCATCAATCGATTCTATATTTGCCGAATTAATGGGTGTGGACTTGAGGGCTATTTACATTAATAGGCTTTTGCAATTTTTTGTAGATTTTGCACGTGTTTATTGAGCTATTTAAAGGATTAAAAAAACATAATTTGGCACAACATAGACTTAGATTTTTTAAGCATAAACATAGTAGGATTTATGCCAAAAAAAGATATCCTACATATTTATAACCATTTTCTTTAAAAAAACAGCGAATAAGGTCTAGTTCTGAGGTAACAATATGGACAATTTCAAGGTTATTAAAACCTGAGTAAAATTCTGCTTGTTTTTTACATTTGACCCATAGGCAAAGTACAATAGCAATACCGTAAACATGAAATGGAATGAACGGAATTATAAAACCAACGTAAACATCGAACGATGTACATCAAAAGCTATCGAACCGTGCGTGGTAAGAATTACCATAACAACGAAGCGCGCGCAATGAACGCCATGAGAGACGAAAACAGGGGGCGACACCCACTTGTTGCGATGACCTTGGCCCATATCTGGCTCACTTGTTGCATGGGGAAGCGTTTGCATGGAACGACTTGGGGCGCTTGAGTTGACCTTAAAAGCTGGATCTGTATGTTAATATGGGTGTTGATTTATCTTCTAAGGTAGAGTCGTCACCAATTTCGATCTATTTGGGGATATCCTTGTGTCAAAGTAAATACTTACATTGGGAAAGATAAATAGTCACGGGTTTTATGAAACAAATAAATTTTCAGAGGCTTCACTTGCGTGAACTTGATAAATCATGTGATATTGTGATTGTTAACCATAAGATTGGGTAGTGACTAGTGTCATCAAAATTTAATTTAATTTTGCGTAAAGGAGTAAAAAACATGGCAACCCCATCTATCCTAAAATATGCTTTTGGTTTGGTACTATAATATAAAACATAGATTGTGTAAACTTCCTAAAAAGGATATAACTCGGTATTAGAATTACTTAGGTATAATAACTTAATTCGTACAAAGGTAGGAAAGGTGAAATTATTCGCACGATTTGAGCAATACAGCCTCAGAAATTTGATTGCCATTAATAGCTTGTTAGTATACTGGTAAATTTAACATTACTACATACCAATAAATCTTGCGTGTTCTCTATTTATTGCCTTAATTAACCAGGTGTGTCATGCAAACGGTTAAAACCGCGGTGTTACTAAATATACGCTGGTTAAGTGTGAGGTCAATCAACAAGATTAAAATTCCACTTAACCACTTCATATACTCGTAGTAGTATGTTTACTTATGTATGCAGCAGTTGTATTTGCAATATTGCGTAATTGTTTGTTATCCCAAACGAAAATAAAATAAATTGTTATTAAAAGTTTAATTACATTATGTCTTTGAAAATTGAAAAACTACGAACGCTAGTGGTTATTTTCTAAACGTATTTTATTTGTTTTTACATCGCGTCGCTCCTACTGTTGCGTAGTTAAAAAGATTTTTAACTAAAAAGATCTAAGTTGTGAGATCTTTGTTCTGTGCGTAGTTACGCAGCGGATTTTAATGCAGTTTTCAGGAGGAAGGTACGGGTCTAGCTAGTTATTTATAAATATTTAAACGTCATTAATGGTTTAGAAATGGAAAATTCAATTAGATGGTGTTCTTCTTCAGTTCTTACAACCCACTCAATACGAGTACAAAAAGAAAAATTAATAATAAAATTCCTCTCATTTCAATCGTTTGTTTTCAACCACTAAGGAGAAAGATAGAAATGTAATTTAATTTCTTTCAACCATTCAAAGTGCTATTGATGAATTGGAAAATATAAAGCATGTTTAATTCTA